CCCTCTCTCCAAAGACTACTGATAAGAGAAGACTCTCTGAGTTGTCAAATAGCCTGAAAGTTGAACAGAGAGGCCAAGGCTTTCCTTTTTCATGAGTCACCCATGCTGGGGACAGCCTTCAGTGATATGGTTGCCATATTCCTGGAAGTTAGCTCAATAAACTCACCTCAATAAACACATTGGTTGACAAAGTTGAACACTAGTGGTATCTTTACTTTGATCTGTTGTCAGTTCCCTATCTGTGATGAGTATTTGGCCACCCAGAAACAGTGTTACACAAAATGTGGGTATGCAAGTTGTTAGATAGGTATAGATAGGAGCTTATAAAAATTCTCTTCTACTTTTGTATGTTTGTTAATAAGGTAGGACTATCACAATACAGAAAGTAAAGATAGGAGATTATGCTTCAGAGTATGGAAGATAATTTACAAGAGAAAGACAGATTATAAGTGTAAAATAGCTTCACAAACCCACTGGAGATTAGTGGTGTGGTTTTGAAGTGAGAAATGACAGTATAACTGTGGATTTTCATATGATCCACAGGTATGGGAAAGGATGCATAGAGTTAGTAAAACTATGCATTTTACCAGAGTCACTGACTTTTCTGTTTAACACATTAGGATTTTACAGAAATAAGGAAAAGCTCATTGAAGATCCAAAATTGGATAGGGAAAGCACTTTATGTAAGAAGTATTTGAAAACATGAGAAGATAGTAGGTTAGGGAGATGGAGACATGACTCATCAGCCTCCAGGGTTGAAGGATGTTTATTGTTGGGTACTTAATTAAATCACTTAGAAGTACAGCAACTTCCACTTATGATGGTGAATGATTTCAGCTGTTGACAATGGTGACGTTTAGATTGCGACTTTCCTATTTAGGATGGAGAACAAGTTCATTTGAGGAATGAAGGCCAAATAATTAAGTAATCAGTACACTGGAAGATGATATGGATTTGACATTGCCAAGGATCATGGCTGGTCCACTGTATTGAAGTTGCTGCTGTCCTTGACCCTCATCTTTAAGGGAGAGACCCAGTGTTCTGAATTCTGGTAGGTGTCTTCAACAACCATGTAGGCAATGTAGGGAATGATACATGAAGACATAAACTTAAAGTTTCCTTTTCTGAACAGAGGGAAAAAGCAAGTGATTCATGAAAGCAACGAAGGCCAGGAGCACCAATCCTCACCATCTTATATTATTGGTCAATGGTGTCTCAAAGACATTGCAGTTGTTTACTGACTCTTCCCAAAGGGAAGCTACAGTACACTCTACAAAAAATACCAGATATTAACATGAAAACAGCAACAACAATCTGGTCCTATGTTGAATTGTCCTGCATCCCTACAGTTTGATCCTAACAAACCTTGAGTCTTGTTCTTCTCAGAGCCTAATTATTCAATAGACCAAGTCCATACGTTTTCATGATCTCTCATATACCACTTCCTTTCACAATCCATGTGTACATTTTCAGACTGCATGCAATGCTCTCAGCCACATTTTAATGGTCAGCCTTCTGCATCCAAAGTTCATTTGGTAGTAAGGCTCATAAAAATAATATCCTTTCATCAGAAGTTTCAACCAATGACTTGTTATAGATGCTGAAGTTGCTTTAACAAGCAGAGAACAACCCACTGATATTATTTCACAGGCAATCACAAAGTCAACTATGATACAAGAATCATAACACTGTGTCACTGGTCACTGACTACCTCCAGGCCAGCAGGAAGAGATGCACTGTGTACTTGGACAAGTTCTTTGAATAAATGTCTTACTTATACTTATATACTTAAATTCTGTCTTCACACCATCAAATTGTCGTTTTGCCTCCTGTGTCTTTTTAATTTGTTTCATTGGATTGAAGATCGTGTGTGTGTGTGTGTGTGTGTGTGTGTGTGTGTGTGTGTGTGTGTGTATATACTAGTTGGGGGCTGGAACTCTAATATGCTATTTTAATTTGTGACTCTGTCCTGAGTCATGATGCCCCATCAGGTTGCAAGGCTCATTTCTTAGCCTTTCTCAAAACTCCAAAGATCAACTTATACTGTCTGGACCTTAGAAGTTGTTCTAGCCCCTGAAAGTCACAGTTAGTGACTGCCACTCAAGCAAAAAGGAAAAAATAAGAATACAGAAGAAACAAAGAGAGATAATATTCTGTTGAATCTACTATGGGGGTTCTCTAAAAATTAATGTGGAAATCACATTGCCATTGTGAAATGGTGATAGGTGAGATTAGGTGAGGCTTTAAGATTTGGAGTAGATTCTACCCTCACGAATGAATTGTGCATTGAAGAGTAAGTGTATTCTCTCAAGGGTGAGACCCCTCTAACAGCTATTTCTTCCAAGTCTGCTGGTACTCCTAATCTCTCATCATCTAATATTCTGCCTTGGGACTCTGTCAAAAAAGGCTATAATTCCCCTCAAACTTGAAGAAGGATCACAAGAAGCCAAAGTAAAACTATTCTGATATGAGGGTTTGTGGCAAGTCTTATTGTATCTTGCTATGATGTGTTTGCTTTATACCCCAGAGAGACCTGCTCTTTTCTGAATGGAATAGGAGAAGGAGTGGATCTGGGAAAGAGGAGATATCAGGGGTAACTGGGTTGAGTGGAGGGAGGGGAAAATCTGGTTGGGATGAATTGTGTGAAATCATTTGAAAGTCATCCTGAGAAGTTGGTCGCCTCCTTTACATTGAAAAATCACCTCAAAATCTAAAAGGCAACTGGGTATATGAAGGCAAGTGTGTATTGAGGGAGACATGGAAAGTACTGAAAAAAATGATGCCCGGGGTAAGAAGGAACACCCAAAGTCACCATGCTGCCGAACAGTTAGGAAGGAATTGTGAGAGCAGACAGCATGTCACATATGAAAGAGAGAAGAGGGAGATGGCCAAAGCTAAGGGATCCTTTTTCTACATCTATGTTCATCCTTTAAACCTGAAAAAATGAGTTGGGGATTTTATATGTTTTCAAGATAGTGAACTTTTTTGGTGTCTAACTGAAAGCAAAGTTGCCACATGAAGTTATAAATGATTTTCTAATCCTTCAACCACAAACACAATGAACATGAGAGCATCTGTGACAATTGATTGCATTTCATTTCTGTTACTGTGAGATAATACCCTGATGAACAGCAACTGGGTGAGAGTTTTTTCAGTTTACAATTCCACGCTACTGCCCATCATCATGGGGAAGTCAGGATAGGATCACGAGTCAGCTAGTCACATCATGTCTTCCACAGTCAAGAAAAGTGATAAATGTATGCATGCATTAACCCTTGATTGCTTGCACTTAGCTTGATTTTTTCCATTCTTAGAGAGTCCCTGTACCCAAACCCAGAAATGATGCCACTCATGTTCAGACCAGATCTTTTCATATCAGTTAAGACAATCTCACACAGACATGACCACAAACTCAACTGACATAGCCAATTCCTCTTTCCACAGGTGAGTCTAGGCTGTCATTTTGACAATTATAACTTCAAAAACTCAATACATGTGGGGCAGTAGTGCTGCACACCTTTAATCCCAGCACTCAGAAGAAAGAGGAAGGCTGATTTCTGTGAGTTTGAGACCAGCCCAGTCTACATATTGAGTTCCAGGACAGCCAAGGTTACATGGAGAAACCCTTTCTCAAAAGAAAAAAAAAGATATGATTGAGAGCAAACAAAAGTCACAATCACATATCTTTTCTGATAACATTTTTGAACAGTTCTCTGCGTTAGAAGGCATCACTTTCATGGGTCAGAAATAATGAAGATTTCCACTAGTCCATCATGGAGATGATGTCATTTCAAGAATCATTGGAAAGTAATCCTTTTTGTATACTTGGGAACCCAGTTCCTGAAATTTTCTCTCAGGAAAGTATCCAAAAGGAAATGTAGCATTTGAAGATGAGTTTTCTTTCATGATTTAATAATAGACCCAAGGAATTAAAGAAACATTTAAGTGTCTTGTGGTAATATAGCAGGCTACCATATGGAGTGTATATGTATGGAAATAGGGGCTGAAGAGAGAGGGTGGTCAGAAGATAAAAGGCAGTGTCTGAGGCTTCTAGGGCAGATGGTATTCTAGGGATGGCTCTACAAAAGAAGGCAAGCAGAGTGAAAGAGTCACAAAGAGCTATGTAAAAATATGTTGTATGTTGTCAGGATGAAGTTGTAGGAGGCCCAGAAGAGCAAATGTTCTAGGAGGCTAAAGGATGAACATTCAGTTCAGAACCCAGATAGGGATGAAAAGTCTCCAGTATTTGGTCCACCTGCCAAGGACATATTCCGTGACTTATTTCATGAAAACTTACAATGCTACATAACAGAAGGGTTTGACATGTAAACTAAAATCACAAATTCAGAAACTTTAATGTGGGAACATTAGACAAATCAATGAGTTAAAAATAATCCTTGAGGGCTTGGATGGTTTCTAAATTCAAAGCACACACACACACATATTATATATTATATTATATAAAAACACTTACTGTCCCCAGTTACAATGTAATCATATGTACTTTGATAATTTTTTCAATGTGTCTTTTCCTGAATCTCAGACCCAAATTCAGAACACACTGCTAATGCTTTAATTACGCTTTGCTTCCTGAAATGACTGCTAATTATCCAAAAGTATTTCTCTATTACAAAGTAAAAGACAATATAAATAACTGAATTCCTAGAGTTAAACAAAATTTAATTAATTTAAGATGGCATGAGGACATTTATTGATCAGATTTGGGTGGGGGGACTGGTAATTTGAGAGAGCTGATCCTTCCTGGGTTCAAGACTCAAATATCTCCCAGAGAGTATGTATGAGAAATGTTGACAGGCACAAAGTTAAGGCCTATATGGTACTCCCTAGGCTCAAAACAGGTATGCTGGTTCCCAGGGCAATGGGGCTTAAGGCTGTAAACAGTGAACTGTGTAGTTGCCAATTGTGACTGAGCAATTTCCTACATCACAGGCTTCCACAAGCATGCCCTGTCTCATCACTGTCTTGAAGCAATGGGACCCACCAGCCATGAACTGAATGAAGCCTCTGAAACCAGGAGCTGAAATGTATTCCTCTTCCTTTGACTTGTTTGTTTCAGACATTTTGTCAAGGTAAGGAACAATTGACTAACATGGAAGACTCCACTTCAGTTGTCCCTTCAGTAAACCTAGTTAGCAGCATTGATATGATGGCTGAGTTGACCAGGAACCTTGTAAACTGCTTGACAGATTCATAACCAGATCTTACAGGAGACAACTAGCCCAGCTCACCAGTGCTTGTGTGGTGAGCACTCACTCCCAGACCAGCACTGATGGCTTCCCAGTTGCAACATTGCCTTTTCTCTGTTATGTGCCTCTTTTCTTCCAATACAGAGCAAAGTCTATGGGAACACTCAAAGAGAGCAAGGTTTCTTTTCTTTCTTTTTCATGATAAATCACCTTTATTTTCCCACAGTCAAACCTTCTTTAAACAAAAGTGCTAAAACACAACCATACTACAAGTGATCTATATAAGTAAATACCATTTTTCTCAGGAAATAAATGTATGTAGGCAAGGTGTTAAAAATACCCAGAGGTCAAACTCTGTGTCGCAGTCTCTATGCTCTGGAGTGGTGGGCAGTTACTTTGCTGTTCTGAACCCAGTCACATAAGTAACTTAGCTTTTATGCTGTCACTCTGAAAAAGAGCCCAGATGGTGCAGAGAGATGCTGATATATATATATATATATATATATATATATATATATATATATGTATAGAGAGAGAGAGAGAGAGAGAGAGAGAGAGATAGAGAGAGAGAGAGAGTCTCAGGTTATGTTGACAACAGTCTGTTTAGGAGACATTAATAACCCTGCTCCATATCGGAAGTCACAGAGGTTAAGTGACTTACCCAAGGTCACGGTTCTAATAAAGCAGCTGCGATACTGTGAAGTAAGTGATGACAGAATGACCCCCAATAACAAACACCATGGCCACACCTTAATTACGCCGGGAAATGTTAATGTTGCCCTTAAACACCCATAAAGGCGGTTTTCCTGCCATCCTTCCTGCATCACTGAGGTCTTCCAGGCAGATACCAACTTAGATTTAATTAAATGAAAAACCCTGCACCAGCAAAACCCATTCTCACCCCCGTTCTGCCCCAACGGCGAGTGAAGCTGTCTCATTTGCAATCACCTCAGAGGTGGCATGAGGTTAGAGGCCGAACGCCCCAGTGACAGTGAGCGGCAACCTCCTCAATTACCTGACAGATAAATTCCCACAGATGTAGACTCAGGAGCAGGATCTGTTGTTTTCTCTCGGCTCATTGAATTTCTAATGGGAAGAGCTGGCTGATGAGGGAGCAGGGCTGTCATCTGGGGACACACAGAGGTAAGCCTTTCGTAGGACATCTTGTCTGGGAGTCACCTGAGGGGGAGTGGCTGCAGGTGTCTACTAAATGGTTTTCAGTTGTGAGTGACGGAGCAAACTTTGAGTGACGAACCTGGAAAGTCATGGAAACGTGAGCGAGGATGCATGGTGAAGGTATTTCTCAGATGCAATTGTCATGAATAATCCACGGACAAGTCAGGGAGCCGAGGGGCTGGAGGGAGGGTTCGTGGCTAACGGGCAGCATGGAGCTCACAGAGCTCACCTACAGCCCCTTCCTTTCACCGTCCCTGTACTCCAGCCCTGTCTTTCATCCCTGCATCTTTTTTAAAATTAAACCTACTCATTTATTTTACATCCCGACTGCAGCTTCCCCTCCCTCCTCTCCTCCCATTGTTTCCTCCTACCTTCCCTATCCCTCCCGCCCCCCCAATCCACTCCTGCTCTGTTTCTATTCAGAAAGAGGCAGTCCTCCCATGGGTATCAATAAAGCATTGAAAGCAAGGTACTGTATGTCTAAGCTCCTCCCATTGTGTTAAAGCTGGGCAAGGCAACTCAGAATGAGGAATAGGTTCCCAAAAGCCAGCCAAAGCATTAGGGACAGCCCCTGTTCCCACTGCTAGGATCCCCCCCAAGTACGCCAAGCTACGCAACTGTCACACATATGAACAGGGCCTATGTTGGCCCCATGCAGTCTGGCACCTGTTGGTCCAGACTCTGTGAGCTCCTGTGACCCCCGGTTAAATATTTCTGTGTGGGTTCCCTTGTGATACCCTCAACACCCCTGGCTTGTACAATCCTTCCTCCCTCTCTTCAACATGGTTCCTTGAGCTCTGCCCAGGGCTTGGCTGTGGGCCTCTGCATCTGTTTCCATCAGCTACTAAATGGAGTCTCTCTGGATGCTGGCCCAACCTACATCTTTAAAAAATTACATAATTCTTTAAAATGATGTGTATGTACATCTGTGTACAGGTACACACATAAGTGCGGTTGCCCTCAGAGGCCAGATTCCCTGGATTATATTGATTACCTTAATTGATGTGAGAAGACTCAACCTGAAAGTGAACAGAGCTGGGGGCTCTGGGTTTTACAGAGTAGAGAAAGCTAGCTGAGCAGTAAGTAGAATTGCATTTATCTGTTTCTGCTTGTAACTGTGGCTGCGACTTGACTAGCTATTTCTAGACTTTTGTGACTTTCCCATGATGCCTGCAACTGGGGTGAGAGTGTATGTGTTCAGATGCACAGGTGAACAGGCACATACATGCAAATACATGAGGTACATTCACTCACAAGTGGTCTCTGTGCATTCGTCCTGCGAACTTTGTCCTACATCACTGGAAAGGTGCGAGAGGCGTTTGTGACCTAGAATGCTCTTCACCCGAATCACTTTGGTTCCAATCTCAGAAAAAAAAGTCCAGGATTTCAATGGCACATTTCTGCCTCCTTTGAACTCATTGTCAGGCCCACATCAAAGTCCTGCTTTCACGTCTCCCTGCTCCTAACGGGCGTTTACCACGGCATACACACAGCATGAGCAGGCCTCGGGTTTCCATGGTCACTGAGAAAAGGAAGGCACGAGTCTGACTCACAAAATTCAAAGAACTTAGCTCATCAGGCACCTAAAGGACTGGAATACTGAAGCCCCTTCCCTCTGTTTTGTGAGTCAATGTCAACCAAGAATTAAGATTTTACCATTTCCCTCCATTGCTAGTACTGACAAAAGGAAGTTAAAAAAGTCTTAAAGATGCACAGATATACACTGAACCTGTGAGTTGGCTCATGTCTGAACACAAAAGAAGGCTTGTCCCTTAGTCCTCTGAGCATAACAGCAACCATCTTTTTGGGTCAGTTGTCTTCATGGAAGAGTCAGTAGAGAGATCCTGTAGAAAGAGGATCTACAGAGGGCCATTAAACCAACACTGACAGCTGAGATATCCTTCATGCCATTTGTGTGTAATTCTGCCCTAATTGTGTATGGCTCCTGAGTTTGGGTAGGTGCCGTAATATATCGGCTGAGGAGGCTGATTCAAGAAGGGATCCATGTAGCCAGCTCTGGGGAAATCAAAACCATGCTGGATGAAGACCTCCCAATGTCAGTACCTTGTGTCACCCAAATTCTTGCCAGTAATACCTCCCCCATTCCACACAGGTAAACCTTATAAAAATGTTTATTTTCCCCAAGGTGATTTTGGTGGACTCATACTTGGGTTTGTCATTGAGAACTTATGAGGAGGCAGACATTGTATCTTTAGGGAAGAAATTCTCATCCTAAGATTACAGATTTTCCTTGCTGCTCTCAGTTGTCACCAAACATATGATGTTTTGGGGCCCCAAAGCATATGACTTGTTCAGATAGAAATGCATGAAAACTAAAGCTGCTGTAACATTCCCAGGAGTACTCAAAATTTAAAAATCACTTATCTACAAAATCCTCAAATCTAATCCCAGAAACTAACTTTTTCAACAGAAAACAGATACTAATGCTTTTCCTTATAAAGTAGAGATATTAGATATGCAACATTGACATGGAGATACTGAACCAACATCTAGGAGCTGGTGGAGAAATCTAAGTGAGGTTTTATGTTGTTTGTTCCCAAAAGTAAATGCAGCTACTACTAAGGAGAAGTAGAGGGTGATATAGAAGGATACCAGTGATGTACAGTCTTACAGATCTTGCTATACTTGGTTAATTTGAAACATGTGCAGATGTCATCAGTGAGCATTTCATAAATGTAGATGCAAAGGTTGTATCTTTCCATGATACAAAAATTACAATAATTTACAAGCTATTGGTTTCATTGACCTCAACTTGTCAACTACTCATTTATTTCCCTTGATAGGCAACCAAAGCAAACAATGATGCTTTTATTCCAATTTTAACTATGAATACTACATTCAGATAACAGATAACACAGTAATCTCTCTGAGTATATATGTTCCGTAATGGCTACAAAGGATTAAAGAGGTGGAAACAGAATTCAAGGATTACCAAAGAGGTTTTACTGAAGGCAAGCAGAAGGCTGATATGTAATCAATAAAGGCTCAGTGGTACTTAGATAATGAACCTTGTTGGAGATCTACTGGAATTATTGCTGAAGAGTCAAGCTTGAGGGTCAGGTTTGAGTCAGCCTTGGGGCATAGCTGGAGTGTAGAAGCCAGGTGTGGAACCATGTAGGCTGCAGAGGTCAAGGAACGTTCCACGTCTACATGAGGAATGATGGGAGGTCCAGATGGATGAACAAGTACATGAGTGGGGTGACAGTAATCCAAGCAGTCCAGGTCAGTAGTGGGAACTGAGCTACACAGAAGTCCCCAGGACACTTGGGAGCTCCCTGCTTGTAGTCCCTTGATGTCGTCACAGGGACCTGGAATAGGTAATTTAATATTTACAGAGAGATTTCACATTATTTTTTATCTTAATAGTCTTTTTATATTGTAATTATCTCTGGACATAGCAATAACAATCATAAAAAATCTAGTAAAAACAGTGCCACTAATATCATTAATTTTGAGATGTTAACAATGCTGTACAACCAGCCTCTGTGAATAGCGAGATATCTTTATCTGATAAATTTGCTAAGTAGCTTAGCATCTTTCTCTTTTAAAACATACTGACATCACACAGACATGTATATAGTATGTTGAAAAGACTGATAATAAGTACGTTCCATCCTCCTAGTTTCCTTAACTGGATTCCAAGTAGCTCTAAGCAACGCATGCATCCTATTGGAAGATAATGGTGG